TAGTTCTTTCTGTTTGATTGAAAATTTAAAAGTGGGTGAAATGCATGCTCACAGCTATAAGTAAGCAGTCGATGGGAAGCAAGAGTAAAATCTTAAATCCAACGTGCGGACCGACCTAAAAGGAGATTTTTCAATGTATTTTCGGATATTTTGGTTTCCATATTTTGGGCTTTTCCCGAGATTAATCCGACATTTTTAAACAGCGCAACAGTGCATTTGTTATTTTTAAAAGGAATTGCTGTGGCATTTAATCTGAACGCTATTCCAGTGACTTTCATTTGACGCCAATCTTAGGCTGTTGAAGAACAACTTGGACATTGGAACAATCTGACTAAACACTTCGGATTAACGTTACTTAAGTAACCGTTTTGAAGACCCCAGTGTTAAAGTTCAAAACTGCATAATCAGTTCCCGATAGTCACCTTTTTAAGCCGATGTTTGAAAAGTGGAAAGCAAGTTGGAAGGATCACTGATCTAAGCTCATCGTATGCAACCCCCTTTACCTACTGGGAATATTATTAAATGAAAACTACTACTATATGTCACTATTTCCGTGAAAGAATACCACTGGTCCATCGAAAAATACATGCCAGATGAGAGTGTTTAATCAGAGTTTTTCGCTTTGCAGCTGGGCCCGCAGGACACGGGCAGTTATTGCTGCGTCCTCAAAAACCGTGCCGGTGAGGATCGAACTGACGGCTCGCTGACTATTAAGCCCATCAGGCCGCTCAACATTGACGGACTCGTGGATGCCGCCTCAACGCCTGTCCACCAGTCGCCGATCAGCGAAGAACCAGTGAGGCCTAAAAAAGTGCCTCGCCAAGCTTACCGACCCTCAATCCCCTCACCGAGTCCCAAACTTCAGCCAGTGGACTTCACTTTCCGTATGCCCATAAGAGCCATTTCAGTACCGCCCTCGCCAGGCTCTTACAGGACCGAGTAAGTAACATTATTAATGACTAAATACCAGCTACTAACTACGTTTGAGTAGGCATGTTTATGGTAATATGCGTATTTTTATAGGTATCGCCGTGAACTTCGCAGTCCCAGGACACAATCACCTAGCATGTCACCACCAGTTTTCATTCAACCACTGCACAATGCAGCTGCAACACAAGGTCAGATGGTGAAACTCCAATGCCAGGTCGTTGGAAATCCCACACCTCAGGTACATATTTCATATGTCATTTATCTTCACAATATAGTACAAATTAAAATAAATCCAATAGAGGAGAATATCCGAGTTCCAGGAAGCAGTTTAGAAGAAGAAGAAGAAGAAGAAGAAGAAGAAGAAGAAGCGATCACTGGAATTGATTGATTTTCTGAACACTATGGTCACCATTCAGTGATCGCTTCTTCTTCTTCTTCCTCTAAAATGAATCCGTAGACCCAGGTTCCTTACTAGTGAAGACAAACCTATGAAGAAGCATAAACCTTTCTCACCATTCTCTGTTTAGATTACTTGGTTTAAGGATGGACAGCGCATCTTTACAGGAGCGAATCGAACCATAGGGAGCGAACAAAATCAACATACTCTCGTCTTCAGTGACATCTTCATGGAAGACACCGGCGAGTATACGTGCTTTGCGACGAACCCGGTTGGTACTGCACACACTTCTTGTCGCATGGACGTGGAACGTGAGTACAGTAGAAAGAAAAACAGCTATTTTCTGTGCGGTGTAAAAAGATTCAATGATCCTAACAGCTCTTCTTGCATTCCACCGCATTCAGCCCTTTCCAGTGGAGATGAGGCGCTGGACATGGCACCACAGCTAGTCAAACCCCTTCCCTCCGATCTGCAAATCACTGAGGGTGACGGGGTTGTATTCGAGTGCAGGTTCCTCGGACGACCCGAACCAACAATAACTTGGCTGAAGGACGATACCGTGTTGCAGCCGTCACCACACCACCAGGTAAGCCTGCCACCCAACCGGAATTCTATCGGGTCCTTTTTGCACAACTCAACCAATCATATTGCATGCTTTTAATTGTCTATTTTGGCACAAGTCTAGTTTAGGTGGATATCATTGCGAGTTAATCTAACTTCTGCAGTTTCCAAATCAACGGACAAGGAAATTTGCATGAATTTTTCTCAATAGTTATTTAAAATTCTATAGATTAATCGGTCCTTTTTTCTTACTATTCAAACAACATCGGTACTCAGAAGAGGGATAATGCCTAGCTACTTATTTTTTGGAAGCAGAGACTTGATTACTGGTCCGCTCGCATGCGTGTCCTAAGGCCCCACCCATAAAGCCCCTATTACCATCCTTCCCCTATTACACTATGACCTACCAACCGGTCTTTCAGTGGGATCACCTACTGTGTCCTTGCCAAGACTTATTCTAATCGTAGAGTAGGCGTATCTCCAGAGATTCTCGCCTTGTTGTCACGCCATTTCACCGT